ACTTGGCAGTTTAAAGATGTCGTTCCAGTGTTTTCTGCTTGTTGCATTGTTTCTGACTGAGTGTTGGTGCTCGTTTTTATCCTTGTAAACCGTGTGTAACATCACCCTTTTTTCCCCCTACCTTTACGGTTTTGCCTTCATCTTTAGTGTCGGCAGTTTGGCCATCACATGGTGTTTTTTGTGTGTTTGTTCTGCTTGGGGTTCTTTGAGCTTCTTAGATGTATGGGATGATAGTTTTAATCAAACTTAGTACATTTTAGGCCATCCTTTCTTTCTTTTTTTTTGTCTGTGCCCCGCGGCACGCGGGATCGTAGCTCCCCAACCAGGGATCGAACCCATGCCCCCTGTGTTGAAGCGCAGAGTCCCAACCACTGGACCGCCAAGGAAGTCCGTAGGCCATTATGTCTTTAAAAAGGTCTTCTGCATAATCTTGTCCCTTATTTCCTCTGGGACTTTTTTGCCCGATAGGTCACTGAGGCTGTATTTGGTTTTTTCCTCCAATCTTTCCTCTCTGTAGTTCATTTTTATGATTCCTGTTACATTGTTTTCAACTCTACTGCTCTTTTTTCTTATGTTTAATGTGCTCTTAAGCCTATTTAATGAATTTTCCACTTCAGATATTGTATTTTTCAGCTCTAGCGTTTCCATTTTTCTTTATAGTTTTTCTTTTCTGTAGAGATTCCCCACCTGCTCAACCGTTACGTCCATCTTTAAATCTTAAATGTATTTATAACAACTGTTTTGAACTTCTTGTATGCTAATTGAGTGTCTAGTTCATTTCTGGATCTGTTTCTTTTAACTTTTCCCCTGAGGATGCTTCTTATTTTCATGCCGTTCTGCTTGTCTAATAATTTTTTTTTAATTAAATTTATTTATTTTTGGCTGCCTTGGGTCTTTGTTGCTGCACACGGGCTTTCTCTGGTTGTGGTGAGCGGGGGCTACTCGTCGTCGCAGTGCGCAGGCTTCTCATTGCGGTGGCTTCTCGTTGCGGAGCATGGGCTCTAGGCTTGTGGGCTCTGGAGCGCAGGCTCAGTAGTTGCGGCGCACGGGCTTAGTTGCTCCGCGGCATGTGGGATCTTCCCGGACCAGGGCTCGAACCCGTGTCCCCTGCACTGGCAGGCGGGTTCTTAACCACTCTGCCAGCAGGGAAGTCCCTTGAGCATATTTTTGATGTCTCTTCAACTGTTGTCTCCAAATACTGATTCTGCCCAATCCCTCCCCCTTGCCGCCGCCCCCAGACGACAGTTACACGGTCATTAGATCTCCCTGTCTCCTCTCCTACGTCTTCCATCCTTTTGTCCTTTCGTGTTCTGGTCTGGGTATTTTTTTCTGCATGATCTCTCACTGATTCTCCTTCAGGAGCTGCAGCGGCTGGAGACAGAGCTGGGCCGACCCCCTGAGCGTTGGAAGGACGCCTGGGATCGGGTGAAAGCTGCCCAGCGCCTTGAAGGCCGGCAAGACGAACGTGTGAGCGGGGGTGGGTGTGGGGGGCTGGGGTGGGCTTGCTGCCAGGAGGAGGTGGAGGCCACCCCCCTGACACGGGCCCACCCTCCTGCCCCCAGGGCACCCCCAGCTCCCTGTTGGTGTCCAGTGTGCCCCACCACCGCCGCTCGCTGGGTGTGTACCTGCAGGAGGGACCCGTGGGCTCCACCCTGAGCCTCAGCCTGGACAGCGACCAGAGCAGTGGCTCAAGTGCGTCCGGTTCCCGCCAGGCAGCCCGCCGCAGCACCAGCACGCTGTACAGCCAGTTCCAGACAGCTGAGAGCGAGAACAGGTGCGAGAAGCAGCTCTCTCTGCACCACGGACACCTCTGGGCTACAGGGACTCGACTGGGGTCCCAGGCAGTTCTCAGATGGGTGCGGGCAGGTGCCTTTGGGGAGCGTCTAGTTATTTCTTAGGTGGACTGATTTGCCGGGGAGGCCATGATGGTGGCCTAAGCTGTGACCGTTGCTGGGGAGAAGCAGGTGGGCTTGGAAGGGTTTGGGATATAGAACTGGCGACCGCAGCCAGGCCACGGTGGCTGCGGAGGAGGAGAGGGACAGGGACCACGGGATACCTGTGAGGTTGGGGCAGCTTCCGGCAGAGGCTGGGGCCCGGCAGGCTGCATCCCAGCCTCTGGGCCTGGAGGGGCCACGTTGCCGCAGTCGCCTCCCCAGACCCGCCTGCTCCGTGTCAGGGGCCCCTGCTCTGCATGTAGGGCTGTTTCCCTGAGACCCTGAGGCTCCGGTGTGGGACCCTCCCAAGTGTCTGTGCTGTGACGGGCGTGAGGGGGTCCTTTCCGGGGACAACCCCAGGCTTCTTCGTGTTCCCTTGCCCAGTGCTCCGGGCTTGGGTCGGTTTGGGGACAGGGGCCTCGGTCTTGCTGCTGGGGCTGG